TGGGGCATTCTAAGCAGTGAGCACAGAAGAAGCAAAGATATGGAGATAAAAATGCAAATGGCGTCCTCTGAGAGAATGATTTATTGTGATAGAAGTATGGATTGGGAGGCCAATCGGAGAGAGGTAGAAAGGAGAAAATGGAAATTACGGATAGACAGGATGGGTCTTGAATGCTATGGCTAGTGCAGCATACTGCTAAGGGTTCTGGAGAGAGTTTGGAGTGAAGACAAGGAATACATGTGGACAAGTCTGGGAAAGCAGGTACCTAGTTTAGCTTCAAACCAGTTTCTTCAAACTGAAAAAGTCTCCCACTTCCGAGTTCAAATAGGACCCAGAAGTTGCCCTGAAAGAGGCACAATCTTCCTGTGCACCTCAACCCTCCACGGAGAACTGCTAAGCCCATCCTCAAGCCAGTTTCCTGGGAGCAATCTGGCTCTGAAGTTGATATCTTCAACTGCAACATATATCCAAGATTCTGGACCCAAAGCAGTGACCCATCATATACAAAGTCAGCTTCACAGGTTTAACATCAGACCTGGTCAAAACCCCATTTCCAGCACTCTCATCAACTGTGTCTCTGGAGAAACATAAAAATGCTTTCAATGATTTAGCCCGAACGCTGCTCTGAAGCCAGGAGTTGTTTACATATAGAAGAAAAGACTTTGTCACTATGGTGCATTTAGGCAATTTCTCTTATTCAAAGTATTCTGTATTCAGAGTTATAGCATATGGTAATTAACATGTTCTTTAATACATGCTTTATTAAAAATTTTCAGAGGTAGTAATTTTCTAACATTGGCCAATAATTCTTCATAGGAAGAAAATAGGAATTTGTAGCTTTAATAAATCTCTGAAAATTATTTACTGATATTTTTGGTAAAAAGTTATAATAGTAATTTGCTATCCTACAGTCCCTTTCATACCAACTGTTAAAACCTACAGTATTACTGTGACATAAAGTATGCTCATTTATGGAGCAGAGACATTTTTATATGAACTGTGTCATATAAACTGTTCACTAAAAAAATACATGACATGAAACTATTTCTCTGAGAGTTTAAACAACCAACCTGAGATCACACAATAATAAGAAAAAGAGCTGGGATTTCAACTCCAAAGGTCCCAGTGCTAACCTGACTCATATTCCGTCCTAGCCCCACTCTAAAAGCTCAGTAGTTTGGTCAACATGCTTAGGACTCATGTCAGCTAACAATGGCTGAGACAAAATTACACATCACAAAGGTCATCTTTTGTCTCCTTTCTCTTCTGGGCCCCCTTTCTCCTTGCTCCAGGGACCAGAGCAGGTTCTGTCCAGTGCAGTCCAAAGCCACGGAAGATCCCAGCAAAACCCCTTCCTGGCTCAGCCCTCAAGGGGGGCATCTCTGATATACAGTGAGTGCAAAATGGAGCCAGGATCACCTCATGGGGCCACCACGGAGTAAAGGTTTAGTCAGTCTTTTTCCTACATGTCTGAAGTCCACGCCTCCTTTTTCTCCCATGTATTAACACTTTACTCTCCTGGGCTTTGGCTTCATCCTATGAATAACACCATTATAGTACAAATATCCCCATTGCTGTTCCTTAACCATCTTCTGCAATACACAGTTTCTTTCCAAAAGCAATTTAAAAGAAACAAAACAAAACTCTAACTTACTGCATTTCTCCTTCCCGGTCTCTCCTTTCTTCTCAATTATCACCCTCCAGTTAAGAAATACAATCACAGTTGTCCATGATACATGAGTTTACATGCCGTGAGATCCCACTTTATATTCTCTTTAGAAAGCATGTGGCACAAAGAACACACAGCTTAATGACCCAGAACCTCTAAATCAGCAAAGAGGCAGAGAGGGATCTGAATAGGGAGCAAGGAAGCAGGGACAGAGAGAGGGAGAGGACAGCAGAAAGGAGAAAATCACTTCGGCTTGGGCTGACCCTGCCTTCACCCTAATGCACAAATGCACAGGACTTCACATCCCACCAAATACCCGCTGCCCTGAGAATATAATGTAAATCTTACCGCAGAATTCATAGCAGGGGAAATGGGTAGCAAGAGCAGAGGGGCACACAGGTGGAAGGGTTTACATCATGTACCCCAAAGCCCACGGTGGTCCACATTCAACACACCACCTCTACCAAGTCCATGGGCTATACTGATCCTAGAATCTCCACCACCACCACAGTCTAGCTATCTTTCCTCCTTTCAAGAGCAATATGGCTTGACCCAAACCCTTCAGAATGTGTACACCACACTGCACAAACCCTCAGCAAGATACAGAGGAGACTGTCAGTAGCATTTTTCCCTGTAACTGATAGACAGAAAAATAGCTTAAGTAATTAGGGAAGGGAACAGAAACACATTTTTAAGCATTTCTTATGCACCAGCAATGTGCTGGAGTTCTTACACGTCTTGCTCAATAGCAATAGTAAAAATTTTTACATTTGTTGAAATGGATGCAACAAAAGAAAGACTATCCATGTTCTCACTGCCTGAGTGGAATTTCCATCTCCACCACTCCGTGACATGTGGAATATGCCTAAAATGAGAAACTAAGTAGCACTCATTTAAAGAAGAGTGTTGACATGACAGAGAGATTAGGAATGTATCACGAGGTCCAGCCGAGTCAGGACGTCTTCTGCGGCTCCGAGATATTTCGGGACAGGCTTCGAGCTAGATGTGAAATGTTGAGTAGAAGAAACGAAAATGGGTTGGGAGCTGGGCAGGAAGGAGATACCATAGCAAAATCTATCAGTTCCCAATGCCAAACAAAGTTTCCTATTGGCTCCAAATGACAACTAATCCCTGACCCTACAGAAATTCCGTAATTGGCCTTTGACCACCCTCCACACTGACACTGGCAGAGCCGGGGTAGCGAAGGAAATACTGCAGTGCTGGCAGGGTGGGCAGGAGCTGGGACTCGGGGGCTGCAGATGGAGTGACCTAACCTGCAGGCTCTGGTGGACAGGAATAAAGACCGGTTCTCTGAAAGCCAGGATGGGAAGTTCAGCCTCGGAGAGTAAAGGTTATTTTATCAGGAAGTAAATCAGAGGCCTGCACCATGACCGCTTTTTTCCAGGCACATCTTGGTGGTGAGGAGGGTGTGTGTCCAGACCGCAGGAATCTCAGAACCACCCAGCTGCCCCATCAGCTCTCTGGGACACAAGGAACGCAGCTGGTGAGAGCCCCAGAAAAGGGCAGTTTTAAGTTTTCACTTTGTGTCTTTCAGAGTGGGTGTGGTTTCTTTCATTTGTTTGTATTTGGCATTTTTTGTTTGTTTGTTTGTTTGGATGGTCTCATTTGAAGGCTGGTGGTTGCCGAGCTTCTCCCTGTGTGAAGTGGCTGACAAGAAACCCAGTGTCTACCATGCCCTGCTACAGCCCCGCTGGCCAGCTGCCAGGCCCACGGGGCCGGCAGGCACTTCTGCCAGCCCAGCTCACAGAAATACGTTCCAGTGGGCACCAGGAAGGCAAGGGGGGTAGCACTTCGGGGCAGGGAGCAGGGCTAGAGTCTACCAACCTGCTAAGCAGTCCCAGGGGGGCTGTCATAAAGATGTCCATTGAGAATAAAAATACTAAGACTAACGAAAATACACAGAGTCAGGGAGCACCATGATCTGACTGGCAGTCAGCACATCCTTTTCAATAACAGTAACACAGCTTCTTTTGGTAGGGAGGGGGCAAGAGAGTTCGGGGCTCTAGTGGACATCTGTGAAAGGACAAAGGGGGGGTCAGAATTGCAAAGGCAGTTGGACATCTTCCTTCATGGTGGCCCGTAGGTGCGTCCTACCTCAAAACCTGAAATAAACTTGAATACCCTACCTTTAGAGAAGATGGGGATATTTTTAAAAACAGAGGCCTTCTCTTTGAAGCTATTTCAAAAGCCTAAGATATAATTTAGTTTTGCGGGGGAAAGCTATGAGAAAGGAAAAGAAGTAAAAACACAAGTTATAAAAAAAACAAAAATAAAGTCCTAGAATTAAATTTTGTAACTGAAACATAGGCCTTTGGGTCCCTCATCAATCACGGCTCTGTGTTGCTGTTTTGGTGAACAGATTTCTGAATTTTATTTTGAATAGTATAATTTTCAGATTAAGATTTCAAAAGAAGTACAGGCTCAAAGGGGAGGGAAGCAAATTATTCCTTACAACTACTTCATACAGCTGAGGGTGCAGACAGGAGACGTGCCTAAAGGAATGGTTCTTCAGATTTTCCACTAATCCTCTGCTCTGCTCTCTCTGTGCTCTCTAAGTTTTCCCTGAGCAGAGAGCGGCGCCTGCATGTTATCAGAGATAACATCAGGTCAGCGCTTCAATTACCAAATCCCTGTTTTCAGAGACTTAACTCAGGTATAAAATGTGTTTGGGGCTCAAATGTGGCAGATAACATCTCAAACCAGCAGTTAATTCTCTAACATGTTTTCAAGGGCAAACGTCTTTTAACTGCTTATGTTCTGATCTCAAAGTGCAAATAAACAGAAGGTCATACATTGAAATTACCCGTAGCATGTTCCAGAGCAGGCAGTCCCTGACTAATTGGACCCTGAGAAGGCTGTAGGCAGAGCAATGCTACTTGTTAAGTGGGACATTCTTTGCAGGGACACAGTTGACAAGGAGAGATGGGTGATCAGGGGTTAGGGAAAAGGTAAAAGCTACTATGACAATTCTTACAGTTTGTTGAGGAATGTCAAGAAAAAAAACCTGAAAAGAAGGGGGAAAACCAGTATCTTTTTCATTTCTTTTCCCCTATAACTTGTGTGGTGTTACTGTATCCATATCCAGAGCTGTCTGATTTTTAAGAGCACAGAACTGGTATCATAATCTTTTACCACCTTCAGGCTGGGTGTTCACACTGGAGCCAGGGGTGTGGCCGCTTCTTCATGGTGTCAGGTTGAGGATATGGAATAAAATGATCGATGGAAGTGTGTGGTGCTATCAGCCACATACTGACTATATTGGCAATAAGTGCCCTGGCACAGAGAGGTGGAAAGAACAGAAAGGGCCTAGAGGGTCAGACTTGCTAAATGGGGTGACTAAGCGTGAGCTACTGAGATCTCAACGTGACCCCACCAGGAACAACTTACTTCATCTCTCCATGTCTCAGCTTCCTCATCTGTAAAATGAGGCAAAATAGAAGACTGGTCCCTCTGGGCTCAGGAGGAACTTGTGCAGTGCCGGGCACAAAGGAAGTGCTGTGTCCACTGGGATACTAGATGAGAGAGGCTGCTGCCGGAGAAAACCAAAATGGCAGGGCCAGAGGCGAAGGCCCAGCACTGAACTGCCATGCTCCTTTATTTTTATTTCTTGAGTCTTCAGTGCACCCTAACCCATTGTCCAAGACGCCTCAAGATGCCAGCGTGTCCCCACGTCACATCTGTAGCTCTTCTCAGGCACCTGAGGAGAGGACAGCCAGAGAGAAGGCCTGCTCTCCCTGCTCTGTCTTGCCCCCCGACCCCACACCCAGTTTAACCCTGCAGGCAGTGGGTAGCACATCTTACCAAGCACCCTAGTTTTGCAGCTCCCCGTTTCCAAGCATTGCATGCACTCGTCCAGATTTTTTTGGATGCAAGCAGCAAAATTCAAACTCAGTCAGTTTTTGCAGAAGAAAGGGTTTGCTGGAGAATGGCAAGTATCCCCACGACATGAAGCTTGGGAAGCAGGGACAGAAGCCGCTCCAGGGGCCCAGGGCCTCAAGCTGTCAGGATTTGCTGCTTCGTTCTCCTTGTTGGCTTCATTCCTTCAGCCTGGCTTTCTCAGGAGGCAGGAACCAGGACCACTAGCAGCTCCTGACTCACATCTTCCTGTCTATTGTGAGAGAGAAAAGGCCTTTATTCTCCTAGTTTCAAGTTGAAAGATCCCAGAGAATGACTCTAGTCAGGCTTGGATCATATGCCCCCCTGCTAATCCCTGTGGCAGGAAGTGGGGCTGAGACACTATAGTTGGACCAGCTGTCTTCTCTAGAATTTCTGTGGCCAGGTCCATGAGGTCCAGTAAGACTATGCCAGCTCCCATCACATCCAGACATGGGGGAGAGATTAGGGGAGGTGGAAGCTGTTCTCCAACACAATGAAGGGCTGTTCTCGAAGGACAAAGTGGTGCCCACAGGACAAACACATGGATGTCTTCAACATTATAAAGTGGAGATAGTACCACATTATATTGTGGAGATAGTACCCTTACAGACAAGATTTGGTAGATCTGGGTAAAATATGTTACCTACTTTCACAGATTCCTCATCTCTCATCCTTAATGATAAATCAATCCCTTCTTTTATTTCCTAAAGGCAAAATGCACCTGTGTGGGGACACATCACAAGACAGATCTCCATTCCCTTTACATTCTGGAAGCTAGAATACAAAGCCAGTGGTATCCCCTGGATCTCTCAGAGCCCCACACTTTCTAGCTATTCAGTAAATGCTTGTTGCTTGAACACATGAGTGAATGATTACCATGTAATTTTCTTTCTCAAATACAACAGTGGCATTATAGACAGACCAATCCTAGACCCATGTTAAAACACAAGTTCTTCTGCTTTAGTGTAAGGCAGGTCATTTGATCAATGCAAGCCCCAGTTGCCCCATTTTTAAAATATAAAAACACTAACATCTCTTTCAGAGGATTGTCATGAAGTAAAACAAGACAAAAAATATGACACTGGACACATACTTACCTCCCTCTTTTCCTGTTAACTTTGTCCCTTGTGTTTTCTTCCTTCACCACCACCCCATCACCCTAGAGGAAAAAGGTAGCATTTTAGTACTGAAAGAGGAATTTAAGATAATTTAGTTAAATGTTCTCAAGAGCAAATCACTGTCTCTTCAATGGCTGTAGAATGTATTTTCAGGAGTCCTTGAAAACTATGAGAAATTTTAAATTTTGTTTGCTCTCCTTTCAACAATTACGTTAAAATTAATATACGCCTATTCTGGATAAGCAGATGACCATCTTAAATGCAATTACTGCTGCCAAGCTCATGTTGGCATTTAGGGGTTTTTTGTTGATAAATAATTATCTGAAGAGACTAAACTTAAACTTTTATTCAAATTTCATAGCAATTACATATGAAAGAAACAGATTCAAATGTGTGTGTGTGTGTGTGTATACCATTTGTTGAATGTCAACTTTGTGTCTAGTTCTCTCCCAGAGACTTCATCTACCCATTAACTCAGTCAATCCTCTCCACAGCACCACAGGTAGGTTTATCATCCAGCTTCAGATTTTTGAGGAAACTGGGGCTCAGAGAGCTTAAGTGACTTGCCCAGGGTTTTAAAGCCAGAGAGTGGGAAGTCACAGCGAACTTCATCATAGCTGCTGTAGGATCCCTCTCTCTTTCATTGCTCAGGATCAGCCCTTTCAAAGCTCTCCAGCTATTCCTATTCCTCTTTCTAAAGTCTTTTTCCCTGCCTTTCAAAATATCATCTAATACAAAGAAGAAACTTCCAGTGAAGAAAGAAGAGAAGAAGAGTTGTATACATGTGCACACATGCACACGTGTGTGTATATATCTCCCTACTGGATGGATGGTTGGAAGGAAATCCAACAAAGTTTTCTCTACCAGAATCTACTTCTTACCACTTAGGTTATTTCCTACTTTTCTCCCTACTACACTTAATCCAGTAGCAAACAAACAAGAATTACCCATTTATCTGAAAATTATTTACAAAAATGGATAGACATGTAAGAGCTGGTAACTTCTTAGGAGGCAAGTAATTTTAAACAATGCTTCAGTAGCTTGGCATCGACTACCACTCTTAGAACAGAACCAAGCATTTTCAAAGAAAACTAACATTTCCTAACATATCTTACAGTTTAGCACCATAGCATTAAATGTGCTCATAAATGTTCTCCTATTTCAGCTTCAAAACAGATACTGTTATCCCCAGATATTCTCATCTCATCCCTTATTTTCAAACAAGAGAACTGAGACTCAGAATAAATCACCTGCCCTAGGTTAGATATCTAATCTTTGACAAAGTCAGGTTCTGCCTGGCTGTAGAGCCCATGGTTTTCCACCCTTCCTTTCTCCCTTCCTTCCTTCCCCAGAACACTTAACCTGAGATCTACTCTCTTAACAAATTTTTCAGTGAACAGTATCATTAACCATATGCACTACGTTGTTCAGCAGATGTCCAGAACTTATCTATCTTGCATAACTGACAATTTATATCCATTGAACAACTCATTTCCCTTGCTCAACTCTGTGTGACCACCAGTGTACTCTTTGCTTTGATGGGTTTGATTATTTTGGATATTGCCGTGCAAGTGAGATCCTGCTGTATTCGTCCCTTTGTAACTGGCTTATTTTGCCTAGTATAATGTCCTCCATGTTCATCCATGCTGTTGCATATGACAGGATTTCCTTCTTTTTTAAGGCTGAATAACATACCACTGTATGAATTTACCACATTTTCTTGATTCACTCATCTGTCAAGGGGCAGTTAAGTCATTTCCACATCTTGGCTATTGTGAATAATGCTGCAGTGAACATGGGAGTGCAAATATCTCTTCAATATCCCAATTTGAATTATTTTGGATGTATACCCAGGAGGAGGATTCCTAGACCATATGGTAGTTCAATTTTTAATGTTTCTCAGAAACTTCCATCATGGCTGCACCACTTAACATTTCTACCAACAGTGTACATTCTATTTTAACACCAAATTTGTCTTTTGTCTAAATCCCCACTTTTGCCTATAGAATATATATCAAGTCCACTCCCTCCACAAAAAAGTCAGGTTATTCTGCATTCACAAGACCACCAAGTAGGATGATAATTCACATGACAGTACATCCTACAGGTGAAGTTCCTACTCTCAGGAAACTTTCATCCTGGAAAAAGATGGACACATTGATTTTTAATCATTTTCATGGCACAATATGAAGAAAAGATAGTGGATCACAGCTTATAGGAGCTAAATTCCTGCTTCAGAGGAAGTATAATTTGAAAACTACTAGCCAAACTTCTTACTGAGGCAAAAGGACTTTGATTTTTTTGACCTCTTCCTTCCTCCCAAGCTTCAACTCTTGGTATTCTTCAACTTGCACTCCATGATCCTGCAATTATTTTTATTTGCCCAAACATGCTGATCTATGAGTCTGTGCCTTTCTTCACTGTTAACTCTGCCTGGGACAAGTTTTCCACACACCATACCACCTATAGTCCTTTGCCCATCGGGAAAACTTCTGGAAAAACCCAAAGCAATGAAACTGTGGAACTTTCTAGACCCTCTACTCCCCCCATCACAGTCCTGCCTTCCTCTACACTACCTTCAAGCCTTGCACACCTTGTATAGAGCTAATTACGATGTCCTGTGACTATTGTAACTCACTTAGCCACTCTGCTGGACTGTTCTTTGAGGACAGATGCAGGATGTCATTTTTCGTGATACTCCTATAGTGTAAGTGCCTAACATTAAGCTTTTTGATTGGGAGGCATTCATTTTAAAGATGCCCATTTTGAAAAACACACTGCTGGCTACATGACACAGTTACTAGCAAACCAACTAGAAAAGGAACCAAGACACCCCAACTCATGAAGTTCCCTTTTAGAAAGCTGTGGGTGACCTAGATAACTAACTGCTTGAGGGCCTCAGCTCCGCCTTCTCACTCTCTAATTCCCACACTTACGTTTTAAATTTGCCAATAAACCATAGACACTAATGAAGTGTTATTTAGTTAAACCCTAAACACTAATAAAGGCAACGGCCCAGGTCTGTACTCTGTCTCTCTACCTACAACCCTGCTGTGTGGCCCTTGGGCATGCCAGGTACCCTTCAGAAACTGTGATTAATAAATCCTGCATCTCAAAGTTCACCAGTGTTTTTGAGGTGCATCCTCAAATCAGAAGAACACTAAGGGCTGGTCCAGTCACACATGGGCTGCAACAGGGGAAATGTCTTGGGGGCTTCCACAAGTGGTATGGCCCTAAGTGAGTGGGGCCATTTCCAGCCAACAGCATCCCTATAGAGAGGGTGAGACCAACACAACACTCCCACACGATGCCAGGCCACTAGTGATGTTTAATATATGATATTAGAGCAAATCAAACTGAATGATTGAAAATAACTAAGAAGGTGTGAACTTGAGATTTAAGATGTACACTCCTCATAGTTTCCTTCTCGTTTCTTTTGTTCTGTCATTTGTCTCCTATGCACACTTATTTATGTTCTGGGGAGCTTCCCTCTGGATAAGTGGTCCTGCCTTCTCAGTTCTGTTACTTGGTTCAATAAGCATTGATTCAGTGCCTACTGTGTGCCAGAGACAGCGTTAGAGTTAAGGATAGTGTGACGGATGATCCAAGACTCCTGCCTCAAAGAACTGACAATGTGGGAAAGTTTCTAAGACACGTTCAGGAAAGAAAAGCACCAAAGTAGAGAGGGATCACTACCACAGAAGAAAGGCAACAAAGGGCTTTGTGGGGTCAGAGAAAAGAGAACGCATCCAGAGTGAAGAATCAGGAACCATCCAGAAGAAAGGATGTTCGAACAAGACCTTGAGTGGAAGGGTTTTGAAAGCATACATGTGTTTTCTAAATTCTCCAAAAAACAAGATAATTCCTAGCCACTTTTAACAAGTAAAATTGCCCTTACCTTGGGACATTTTTAACCACAGCACTGCCAAATTTCTTTTCCATGTTTTCAAGGTCTGTCTTAAAATTCTGGAAGGCATCTCCTGCCAACTTTGATAGGTCCAGGACCAATCTTTCCATGTAAGTAAGCTCTCTGGGTGCTGGGAGCACTGAAATGCCAATATTGTGTTGCTATCATTGGTGTTGGGATTAATGACCTTAAAATAGCACTGCCGGAGAACAGTCAGAATGAACTAAACCCAGAAACAAATGTTCAAGAAAACAAAAAAAGGTTTTTTCATCACATTCAAAGAAGATGAAAACAATGGAGGCTTATGCCTGCTGAAGGGGAAAGACAGTATCACCCAGTAATAAGGAACATGAGACTCTGTGGTTACTGTTGCACTTACATCTTCTCTATAAAGAGAAAGAGGGTGGGTATTAGCAGAGCAAGTCGCTATTCTGAGGGATTCGTCTCCATGGCCCTGCGAATTTCATGAGGAAACTAAGAGAACCCTTATTGAATGCTGTTGGTGATTTCTGAGGAAAGTGGGAATGAGGCCAAAACACCAGAAATTCGGTAGATGTTGTGGTTTTCAAAAAACTGCATCAGAATGCTTAATCCAAAGCCACATCCAGCAAGCACAACTCCTATCTCCAGTGAGGTTGGACCCATCAGGAAAGTCTACTAAATGAGAGCCTTCTAGAAAAGAACTCATTGTAAGGGAAGAAGACATTAGGTTGACAAGCTTGGTCCAATTAAAATACTTTGATTATTGGAGGGAAAGAGCAAATACCAGGTGTGAACCTTTCGCTATGCTGGTCCGGAAACTGGCACTCTTGTGTATTTCTAGAAGCATGAACAGGTCCTACAACCAGTTTGGAATCTATCTTCCCTCAGGAGGAAGGAGCAGAGTCCAGGAAAAAGTCAGACTGGAGGATGGCTGTTTGTTTGTTTTGTTTTGTTTTTATAAATCCACTCTCTGAGCTTGAACTGCAGGCTGACCAAAAGACAAGGACTAGGACTCTGAACACGGAAGGGGATTAAGAAACTATGCAGCTAGTTGTCCTCACTTCTAAAATGTGTAAAGAATGGCAGAAAAATTCTAGTGGGATTAATCTATTTCTTATGCTTGTTCCAGATGTGTTCAATTTATTTTTCATTATTTCCCTTCTGATAGAAGAATGCTCCAGCTCTACATTTCTAGTTTCTCTCAAAACCCCAGCACTGAGCAGAGATCCTGCTAATTATTTTAGCATGCTATGCCGAGAGACATGAGCAACTGAGTACAGAAGTTGTTTTGCTCCTTTTTGGAAACCAGGGCCATTTGGAAGTCTGGTCTCCCTCCTTCTCTTCTCCCAGAAAGAACAGGAACTCAGTCACACTCAACAGCTCTAAGCGGGGCTGATGTTTGTCAGATACGCCCTAATGTTATGTCTGTTGTATTTCTTTAAACCCAATACTTTCAAGTGAATGTAGTGAGAAGGTGCTAGCATTTGAGCTTTGCCTATGAGGTTAGATTTAATGACCTTTGAGATTCTTTCCAGTTCTGCAATTTGTTTATCTTGAGAGTTGTATAACTTTCAATGAGATATAGAGTCATCGCAGAAGGATTCAGAACCATTTGAGGTGAACATGATAGACCAAAGAATGTAGGCATTCTTATCAGTAACTAATGTGTGAGCAAATGGTTGAACTTTTCTTGAATTGTTTAGAATGAATCAAAAGTCTTTAAAATATGCCTACTCTGATGTAGTAACACCGCCTTTAGAAATATACACTAAGGAAATATTTAAGAAGACTGTTTTCCAACACCACCAGGCAATTCTGATTCTCAGCAGATACCAACTAGACACCCTTTTAACTCAATTCTGACACAATCTACCTGGAATTAGCATCATATCTCACAGGTTAAAGTCAACCCCACAAGACTGCCCTTCCCTACCAACTTCAGATGCCAATCAAAAGTCCAGGATGTTAACCTGCGCTTCTCACTGACTGGCTATAAATCAGAAGTTCCCACGCCCTTCTCCCTGGGTCCGATTGATTTGTTCAAGCAGCTCACACGACTCAGAAAAAACAGCTTACTTATTAGATTACCAGCTTATTACAAAGGATATTATGTAAGGTATAGATGAAAAGCCAGAAGAAAAGGTGTACAGGGCAAGATCCTGAAGGGTCTGGAGTGCAGGAGTTTCTATCATGTGGAACTAGGGTGTACCACCCTCCTGGCACATGGATTCATTCACTAACCCAGAAGCTCATCACATCTCACTGTTCAACATTTTTTATAGAGCTTAACCTGCAGCACCCCCACTCCCACCCCCAGCTCCTTACCCTTTCCCGGGGTTGGTAGGCAGGACTGAAAGTTCCAACCTTCTAATCACTTGGTCTTTCTGGTGTCCAGCCGATTGTAAGGCTACTTAAGACTTCCCCCACCCGTTCACTTAATTAGCATAAACTCAGGTGTGCTCAGAGGTGTTCCTTATGAATGAGGAAAGGTATTCCTATGACCCAGGAAATTGCAAGGGTTTTAGGAGTCCTGTGCCAGGAACTGGGGACAAAGACCAAACATATTTCTTATTATACCACAAACGTATGCAAAGAACTTAGTCCTAAAATGCTCATATGGTGTTTTTAAAAATCATTTTTAAAAACCAGAAAATATTTAAAAGCCCAAGAGTGGGGAATGTATATAGTAAATTGTGACACATGTGTGTGCCGGAATACGGTGCAGTCACCAAAAACAAGGCAGATTACGTGTATTAATCAACATGAAAGAGCAGATTATAAAAACAATATTACAGTGTGATTCCATGTTTGTAGTAGACACATCCACATATATACTGAAAAGAATTCTTAAAGGAACTGAACCAAAAAATTAACAATTATACTTTATTATCCCTGGTGATGGGAGTTAAAGAAAACTTCTGTTTTCATCTCTTTATATTCCTTTTTTAAATTTCTGCAGTGAGTAAAAATTTGTGTTACAAAAATAAGTTTAAAATGTGTATTAATTTTTGTGTCTGAATATATAATTATTTACCAAATGCCTATTATTCACCAGGCATTGTGGATGGCTAATCTCTCTATAGAATTCATCAATCACTTGACCATTTTCTGAGTAACACATAAGCAAAGGAAGCCCAGTACAGAGATTTAAAATCAACAAAATGGTCGAAAAACTTATTTGAAGTCACTAATGAATTCAATACAGCAGCCAGGACATGTAACCTACAGTTCTTAAACCCAAACTCAAAAACAATGGATGCTGTTCTCCTCTGAGTCCTCATTTCTGCTCATTGTCTACTGGGGCTGAAAGGTAGCTTAGTGTGGTAGGTCAAAGAGAATAGTGCCTCAATAGTCTGCAGCTGCTTGCATCAAGCAGCATCTATTTCCCCACCCTCCAACCTGGCCTAGTGTGTGACTTGATGCGCCAGTCCTGTGCCCAGGCCCCCAGAGACCTTGCAAGTGTCTGCTCTTTTAGAACCTTTGACCACTGAGTGAATCAGCCTGGGCTCCTCTCCTGGAGGATGAGCGAGCTCCCAAAGAAAGGCTCCAGTCATCCATCAGCCAGACGTGGCCATTATAAACCAGCCAGCCCCAGCTGCCCCACCAACTGACCACAGACACATGAGCCAGCCCAGCTGAGGTCAACAGAGCCCAGTACCAAACAGAAAAACCACCCAGAGGAGTCCAGTCCCAAATGCCAACCCACAGAGCCATGAGCTGAATAAATGTTTGCTGTTTTAAGCCACAGGGTTTCGGGGTGGTTTGTCATGCAGCAAAAGCTAACTGCTACACTTTGGCTCATCTAATTCTCCCCATTTTTCACATAAGGCAACCAACAAGGTGGATGAAGTACCCCACTTAGAAGCACACAATAAATCACACAGGGAGAAAAGACCCCATTCTCCTGGCTGCCATGCCAGTGTCCTTGGCCACAGAATCCTTCAGAAAGGAAAAGGTGAATAGAGTTCAAATACACAAACAGAGCTAAAACCTTGACAAAGCAAGTACAGTGAACAGGCTTCAGGTCACCATGAACCCCATGTCTTCTGGCCAGCTTAGGACTTTGGCTGCAGGAGAAAGGCAAAAATACCACGTCTGTTCTACCCTGGTCCCATCCCCAGGCAATTCTAACGTTGCCCAGATTCACAGACCACCTGGGAACAAGGCCCTCTGAGACCTCAGACGTGTCCACTCCCGCCCCCTCTCTCTCTCCTCTTTACCTCTTTCCTCTTCTCTCCCTTCATCCTCCTCCTCCTTCTCTTTTTCTCTCAATAGGCCAGAGAAGTGTGTCCCCTGACCCACCACCACGTGATTCTCTGAGTTCCCCCACCTCCAACATGCCCAGCAGAGGTCACATTGACAGGAAAAGTAATAAAAACTACCAACTTAAACCAAGCCTCAGGATAGCCCTACTACTAATCATAAGATGCTCCACTTCAAAGGCCTTAGCCCCAAACATTAGCCAATTAATCCTCTCTCGGCCACCCTGAGTGGTCATTAGGCCTTATTATTCACCAGCTATAGAGCAGGAAAACAAAACCGAGAGATGACTGCTGGGACCCAGGCCTGGGAGGCAGGGGGAGACCACTAGTGCCTGCCTGGGGTGGAGGCCGGGCACAGACCATGAACCGCAGCGGAGGCTCCCCCTGTGCAGGCCCAGAGGCCGGTGCCAAGGGGCGGCTCAAACTTGTCCTTTTCCATTAGCCACAGGTGTGTTTTACCACAGCCTAACTAGCAGCTACTATTTATTCTCTGGGATTTTCTAAAAATGTGCTTTTGCAAACTTTCAAGCCAAAGCTATTCCCAACATCACTCTTTATTAAACTGAGCCACAGAAATGTATTGAAAATCATGAGCATTTTGAAACATACTGAGTCCTTTATGGCTGAAGTAATCTAATAGACAAGCTGTTGTTAATTTACAACCTTAATTTTCAGACACACTTCTTGAGTCAAAAGTACTTCCTGCTCTGTAATTCCTGTAGGGATACAGGTGGCCTAGGACTAAGTACACATCTACTGTACATTAAAATGTATTTCTTACTTAACTTAAACATTTCTGAAATCTCAAGTTTATGTCTAGACTATTTTAATCAGCTAAATGTCATAATAAGCCATATGTTGGTCTTGATCGGTTACATACACCAGCCCTACTCATAAAGTATCAAAAGGTGTTTTTAAAGAGAAGTCTGTGTTTGTTTTACCAAGAAAATGGTGCTTTCAGTCTATCATATCATACACGCTGGCAGGCAGCAAAGGACCTTACGTAACTGGTAGAATAAATGGAGTTTTCTCCCTTTTTCCCTCATGTACCACTCCATCAATACCACTTTTAAACATCAGAGTTTTAGAGCAATAAGCTTGAACTGGTCTAAAATGTCTCTGGACTGCTATCCACGGAATACCCCTACTTAAAGAAAGCAGGATGGTGTTGAGCAGGCATTTTGTTCCTGCTGTTCTCTTTTTCACAGGGTTTTTCTGCTGACAGTTCATTCCCGTCCGAGTGGGCCTGCATCTCTCAACCTCAACCAAAGCCTCCAAGTCACTCAATTATAAGGACGGGGGTGGGGGGCGGGGGGACACTAGCAATGCTGACTGAATAGGCATCCAAAGAGCTCCAGGGCGTCTGTCAGGGCCCAGGGGTTGGAGCCGCGGTCGTGGAGATGGGAGGACGGCGCCTGCCGCCGTGAGCCTCGCAGTGCTCTCGGAGGAAAGGCAGCAGACAACTCCACAAACCATCACAGGAAGGCGTTTTCCTAAGAGCTCTGAAGAGGACGTACTTGATGCTATAGAAGTTCATTCCAGGAGCACCAAGAGGCATGAAGGGACAAGGAAGGCTTCCCCAAGGGAAGTGATGTCAGGCACTGACCTTTGGGAAAAGTGGGAGTTGGTCGGAAGGTGGGTATAGTGCTGGTAACATGACAATTACATGGAAAAATAGGAAGGAAGGGATGGAGGGCGAGAGGGAGAGAAGAGGGGAGGTAAGGAGGGGCAAGGAGATGAGGGGACAAAAGTGGAAGGAAGAAGAAAGGAGGGGACAAGGAGAGAGGGAAGAGAATGAATTCCAATCTGCTACCTCCATACTTTTATGACCAGCCAGGAAGCATCAGAAAGTGTCTAAAGTAACTTTGTTTCCCATTCTAAAGAGACATAATTGAAAAAGCACTCATTAATCAAATTGGAAAATAAAAGCTTTCTTATCAACCTAAAGAGGATACTTCACTCAAACTTTGAAGAGGAAAAAAAAATACAAAATGATACTTAGAGGGAAACAAGTAAATTGGGTTTTAATGTTGGCACTTGATAACATTTTATGAACTGTGGATTGTGAATAAGAGTTCTTGCATGTAGACTTTTTTGGAGATGAAAATGATCATAAAAGCATGTTCCTACCAAGCCTGGACGGAAACAAGGAGAGCTGGTTTCCCATGATACCACATAACCACATTATCGTGTTTGGTTCGCATAATCAAGTGTGTAGGAAATACCTTTTTGTGATAATACTTGTAAATGATGATGTTTTCTCTGGGCATCTTCTCAGTGCATCTCCATCTTCCCCCACTGGAAAGAGTAATTCTGGAGGGGAAAAGAATATGGCAGATCCATTTGTGTCTCCCCATTGTGTCAGTTAACTGCAGTATCTACATGCATCACCATCACAGGGCTGCATCAGGATGCACCCTCCACCTACGCTCATCCAGGCACCGGGGAACTTGGGTGCTGTTTATCCACTACCTCTGCTTTTTCTCCTTTCAGAAAGGTGGTGTGATTACTTCCTGCCCCCTTGAAATGAAGCTTGGCCATATGACTTGCTTTGTCCAATGAAATCTTAACAGAATTGATGTGACTCACTCTCAGATGGACAATTTAAGTGCTGGTGCAAGATTTACCCCTTTGGCCCTATTGTAGCACTTTTACAAGTACTTATCAAGAGAGAGCTGCGTCATTCTGAAACCCTGAGGGATGAGAGAGCCCAGTTAGCCTGCCCTGCACCTGTAGCATAAGAAACAGAACACATTCCATCGAGCTACCGAGACTGGAGGATGGTCTGTGCTCACACTGTGACCTGACCCAGCCTAGGGTCAACGTCAGCATGCCTTTTTTCACCGTGGCCCCGCTGCCTTCCCTTGTGCTGCTCTCTCACTCAGAATTATCAGTCCAGCTCCTATACAAATGCATTTGGAAATCAAGGAGGTGCCAAGTGTTTATTTGTTGAGACTCAAAAGCTGCGGCTTCCAAAATAGTTCCCCTAGAAAACAGTGAAGCAGCAGTGACTGGCAACTCTTCGGTTTGGACCTTTGCCACAGGGATCCCTTCACCAGAAGCTGTGGAAAAGAGGGATCAAAAGTACACACTCTAGAACCAATTTGTGTGAGC